AAAAAAAAAAAAAAGCCATGAAATGGAGACCTGGAAACACCCTCACACGAGTCCTTCTTATCCCTTTTCTAGATGACAAACCCTTTGAGAGTCTGAGAAAAGTGTGAAATTCAGTCACAGATATTTAAAAAAATCATGAATTAATTTTAAGGATGCAAGAAGACCCAGAGAAAGAACCCAAGATGCACAGGGCTAACCCCAGCAGCCCCTGGAGGCCCTCACTGCCAGGGAGGGTGGAAAACGCACTTAACCTGCTATGCACCCGGCCTAGGGCGCCCACACAGGAATGCAGGGAGGTCCTGAAGTTTTATGAGCCCTCCCTGGTGACAGGCTTAAACTACCCTCATTGCCACAACCCTGTGGACACTGCAGCTGGAGACCGCTGGGCCCAGTGGCTGTGGACACTGGGTCCTAGGGCTGGAGTCCACCTGGTACCGACCCGGGGACTACAGGGGGCCGGGTGAGCACACCTCTCCGCAAACAGGTGTGTGGTTCCCCCAGCAATACAGACCACGAGGAGGTAACTGCCTCCTCTTGATGCCCAGTGACCTCACATGGTCATCACTCATCTAGAACACACTCCTGAAGCCCGAGGAAAGGATATAATTCTGGTAGTGAGTTGACAGTTCAGCTACAAAATTGTCTTGTAATACTTGTGCTCCGAACCGTAAATAAAGGATGACGATGCTGGAAAAAGAGGAAAATATGTAAAGCGCAGGAAGCTATGAGCTGTCAGTCACCTTGTTAGCAGTTACAGCCCAGTTACTATTATTCCTACCTAGAGACCTGTCCACACAGGCGCACACCCAACCTGTGCCAAGGGCTTTTGGTCTCAGATCCAGGGGCCAGCTGCTGGGACACAATCAGCTAACCCTGACATTGGCCATGTCACAGTCTCGAATGGGGGGCCTTGAGGGTCACCCTCAGTGCATGCCCCTCTTCCCCTCACGCCCTTGGTTCATGTTTTTAAGACCACCTCCTTCAGATACCAGCCCCCCTGAGGAATGTCTGCTTCTCCATAATCACATGTCCCTGGCACAGTGACTCAAGTGCCCGCCAGACAGACACCTGCTGCCAACACGTGGTGACAGAGCTTCTGGAAAGGTGAGCTCCACCACCAGGCTGTGCCCTGAACCACCCTAGCCCTCCGCCTGGTGACCTGCTTCACCTCCCTTCCCCCTGCTCCACTCTCCACATGCGGCTGACGATTGTTAACCAAAGTGTGAATCCGCTCCCTCACCTGTGGCCCATCACTGAGAATAACTGCTACCTGGCCTCCACCTCTCCTCGAGGTGGCCCACGGGGCCCACCTGACCTCATGCCCTCACCTTCTGTGATGCTGCTGTTTTTTCTATTCACCCAGGGAGCCAGCCCCATGTATTTTCAGGGCTCCTCCTTCAGGCCCCAGGGCCACTGTCACCTCAGAGAGAAGTCCCCTACCCACCTGTTTTGCGCAGCCTTCCC